CTCGCTTGCTTAAAATTTTTCCGGTGACTTTTCTGTAATTAAAATACTGGGGGATAGACAATGGGGATAAAAACGTGTGCAGAATTCTCTCTGCAAATGCCTTTGTTGCATGTTGTGCAGAGAATGGAGTAAAAAGCAGTGAATATTCCTAGTGAAGTTGTGAGGAACTTTTCAGACTGTTCGACGGTAATTGTGAGTGTCGGTGTTTCTCTGTGGAGTGCTCAGAAAGCACACAATTTGCCTGCTAATCCTCTCTTTCGTGGCTTGAATTTTCCAGCGATGCAATTTTCCGCGGTGTGAGATAAATCGTTGGGGGGGTGGTGGTGTGGAGGGGGGGTGGGTGAGTGGGGCGAGTATGAATTTAGTGATTACTGTGGGCGAGAGGGAAAACATTGCCCTCTGACACGCTTCAACCTCTCTGCAGAGCGAGAAGACGCATGTTTTCCATCGCTTTCTCATCATGCCAAAATGGCATTCTGTCTCTCTCACGCGCGAACATATTGTATCTGCTGTGTCACTCGCGCGGTGTTTGCGATTTTCCCAATTTTCACACACACCCCACCATTCCTATCCACCAAATCCGGCGCACGACTCGCGAGGGGGTGGAAAAGCACTCAGCAAGTGTCGCTTTTTGCTGAGCTTTTCACAACTCGTTGCGCCAGAGCGAGACGGAGCGACGGTGAAAGCGACTGAGGGTGGGAAGGCACTTGAAGGGGTGTCTGTTGGATGGTTTGTAAGGGGATCCGCAGTGAATGGCCGTTTTCCGCGTGCATTATCAATATAAATGACCGCAAGCATGGAATTGGGAGCTGGCGACGCACCCTTCGGGAGGACAGAGGTTCAATAAGTCAAAGGAGACAAATAGAGCCGGTTGTCACGCACTTACGATAGTTGAGAAGAGGGATAAACTGATCTGAGAAACATACAATGTGTGGAGATCTCAACTAGAAATGCGATGTCATAATTTATAAAAGGATAAAGGCAGCATGAAAAACACGTCTAAAGCACAAATCACAGTTGATAGGGAAGAAGATTGATAACAAAGAAGCTTGATGACAAGGAAAAATGTTGTTCTGCAATGTGTAGAAGAATTCAGCAATAGATTACCTAAATTGAAAGCTGAAATGTGAAAAATATAACTCATAAATGGTGCCAGAAGTGGGATGAAGTAGTCCAATTCTGCATTTTCTGTGCAAATTTGACTTGTAACAAGTCTCTAATTGAACAGTTTCAGCACTGAATTGCTTAATAATATCACCGAAGTGAGGGAAAGAGGAGTTTTCTTTCGAAATGCGCATCCCCTTTGGGAAATGCCTCAATGATAAAGTGCAAATTTTCCCGCAGCAACAGATAGTTGTCTCGTTTTCACTCTCCAGCATTGGTTTTGGGGCGCAAGGAGGGAGGGAGGGAGGGCAGAGGGTGGCCATTTAGAGGGTGAAAAGTCAGTCATTTGCCATTATTTGTAAAGGAGAATCAATAGGACGATCACCTTCATTGATTGGCGGATGAGATTTTGCAGGAAATGCTCATTACTTGTGCTTTTATATGGAAATTTTACGCTAATCCATAAGGTGTGTGTGTGTATTTGTGTTTTTACGGGAAATTTTCCGCCCCCGTTTTCACAACTGAGTCACACTGTGCGTGTGTGTTTGTGTGTGTGTGTGAAGGAAGTGTGGCCACATAAATTATGAATGAGTGCGGAGGGAAAATTGTATCTCTGAAAATTGCAATGAAACTGGGTTGATCTCGCTCGCTTTTGGGGTATTACGGATAACCAGGAGTTGTCTCTGTTTGTCGTGAGTGGAATATGTGGTGGCGTGAGTGAGTGGGAAAAGCACTGGGGAATTGGTTTGGTATACACAATTGGAACTTTATCGGGCAAGAGAGGAAATTTTCACTGGCGTGAGCGAGATTATTTTCCACATCCAGCAGTTGCTTTGTCGTCTTCCTGATGCGAGGGTGTTGAAGGAGTGCGCTAGAGTTAGTCGAAGGGTGTCTTTCGCGCTGTTCCAAAGTGGATCTTTCTTTTTTTTTATTATCTGATTTGCCAAAGAGTGCGAAGAGTTGAGGAGAAAAAGTTCAGATGTCATGAGATGTTTTTCGATTGATGAAACCTTCCGGCTTTTTTGTGTACTTTTCACGCTCTTGCCGAAGACACACAAGAGTAAAAAAAAAAAGAGGAAAACAACACATAATGAAGTGTTTTCCCAATAAAGTTATTACTGCGCGGTGTGTGCAAAAACAATCACGATCTGGCAAAGTGAATTGAGGCATAAGTGAACAATCAGAGAGTGTTGCGAGAGTGAAGAGATATTTTCAATCTATTTACAATTGATGACTAAATATAGCGATAGGGAAAAAATGATGAAAATCTATTTTGACTCTCTGTTCTGTGGTGGAAATTAAATAAATAAAAGCTGACTACATGAGTATATGGGTAAAATGTTTATACACTTGCTTCTATCCTTAAGAGATTTTTCGTGAAATATATTTCCAGAATTTATGTCAAGCACCCTCACTTTTTTTTTCTCTTTTCTCTCTCGCATTAATCTCACATAGTATTTCACTGAGGAAATCATTCCACAGATAAATTTCCGATTTAGTTGCATTTGTGTCACTGTTCTTTGTGTAACTCAAAAAAGCATGCAATTTGCGTTTTATCGATATTTTCTGTTGTGAGAAAATTGTCTGGCGCACAAAAATTTATAACTCTATCGAAGAGAAAAAAAAGGACGTGATGAGCAAACGTCAAGGCTAGCTTATGGGCGACGCAAATAACTCGAAATGTGACCAATTCAATTTAAATACAAAATGTTCAAATCGCCATAACTCTGCTTCTTGAATACGTCTTAGATTAGACTATAGAAGTACCTGAAAATTACTTTTAATATAGCTTGAGTTTGAAACAAAAATCGGTGGTCAGATGAGATTCTGTTGTTTTAAAGAGTTCATAATAGTTAGTTAGTTCATCATAAGTTCGATTCTGTTGCATCGATGAGAATCACAATCTGGACATACTAAAATCGTATCCAAATGCATAACAGATTTTTTAAGATACATGCGTTTGAAGTTAATTCAATATGGCGGCCTACGTAATGGCGTCATAGACTAATGGTAGATTTGGCCTACTAAAGGGCGTCGATATATGCATTTTGATGGAGAGATTATCGAAATCGGCCGGTGAAGAGCGGAGATTTAGTTCGGTAAATGTGTGAACTTTCACCTTTCATATCTTCGCTCTCAAAACATCAGACGCCACAAGTTGGGTATCATTGGAAAGGTCTCAACTTCACCTGCAACATACTCAAATTTAAGCCCAATCAATGCCATAGGGGCTGAACAAAGGATGAAAATCTGTTTTATGGATATTCAAAATGGCCGACGGAGGTGTGGAAAGTTAGATTTGACGTCACCAAGCTCAAGCGGCAGTAGGAATTTCGTCATATTTGGCCTCCCTGATGTTATTAAGATCGATTTTGCCACATATTAAGAAGACAGCGACGAAGAAATCTTTGTGAACGCACTCAACTTGAGATGAGTTTGTGATCCTGAGAAATGGCACTTTGTTTATTTTCACGAGGCCGTGGATTTTCACTGCCGAAAAAAGCAAGTGCGTTGGTTTTTCTCAAAAAAAATGTGTGGCGGCGATGATGATGAGGAAGAATTTTGAGTGGAGGCGCGCCCGTTAAAGTGTTAAAGAAAAATTCTGGTAATTAATATAATTTTGTGTGTGTGTTTTGGCGCGATTCTGTTTTTCATTAAAAATGAAAAAAAAAAACTTTTTTCTCGCCTTGTACTTGCTTCGATACTGAGCTTTATCGCTTCGCTCGAAGATCGCGTCGTTTTTGAGTTGTTGATTGCCGAAGTGTGTGTTTCGGTGGAAGGAAAATAAATCCATAACAGGGATGGATTTATGAGAAGATCTTTTTCACGTTGCGTATAAAATGCCACACAATTTCCCTGACAGAAGGTGTGAATTTGTCACACTCGAAAGGATGCTCGCAATCCTGATGAGAGAAGATCACGCGCGCAGTGCGTTTTGCGGAAATCAAATGGCAAAAGTTTTGTCCCTTGACGGATGGCGAACAGTTTTCCCCAATTGAAAATCACCTGGCTTTGGGCCTGCCAAACTCATCTCTTAATTATAGATTTGGCGAGAATTGTGTTTATTTTTGGCGAGCGATGCTCGAAAGACAGGCAAAACGAGAGAGAGAGAGAGAGAGAGTGAGCAAATTTCTTGTCTCATTTACACTCTGTGTCATCATTGCGTCCTCCACTTTTCCATGCTTGTTTTTCCACTGTGGAAAATTGGCTCAAATCAGCGCTTGTGGCGAGAGTTCGTTGAGTTTGTGAAGGAAAAATTAGGCGCTCATTTTCGGACTTCCCAGAAATATACTTAAATTGCAACAAATGTCACGAAAATAATTGAGGAAAAAACATGTTTTTTCAGCAATTAAGAAAAATTATTGCTGATATTCTAAGCAGGAAGACAGAACGAATCCAATATGAACGATTAGCTGTGAAAAGTCAGAGTCAATCTTTAAATCCTTGCTGAATAGTTCAGTGTTTAATGTTATGGCTAACTTTGACTTTTCCAAGTGTTGTTTGTAAGACTTCTTCACATTGTTTTACTTCTGTAACTCGGCTGTTGTACTCAAAATAGCATTTTAAAGGTGGATATGATCATCGAAAACCATGAAACCTTGACGAATTTGGTGTCAGAATTGGGATTTTTCACATATTTCTGGTTAGGAAAAATGAAGATTTGGCGGAAGTGAAATTCTGCATTTCACATTGATATCAAAAATTGTGTAAAAAATCCGGAGTTTCTGAAATACCAAATCTATGTTCCATTAAATTTCTCTCATCACAGTTTAGGTGATCCTAAACTAAACTAAACCAAACTTTCCTGGCAAAGTCAGCTGAAATGCTAACGAAATACGAAAGCTCAGCTTATTGACGTCCTTCTTCTAACGCGCGTTCTTTTGTGTCGTTTGCAGCAACAGAAATTCCTCAAGAGACCATCTGACGAAGTTGAAGCTGGTCCCGACAGTTACGAGCCCCCCGTGAAGCTCCAGCACAACGGCTCGGAGAATCTGACAAAATTCTCAGTTGAGATTGTGCAGCAACTCGAGTTCACCACGTCCGCGGCAAATTCGCAGCCACAGCAGATCAGCACGAACGTGACAGTCAAGGCGCTGACCAACACCTCTGTGAAGAGCGATGGCGGTCTCGCGGCGGGCGGCGGCGCGGCCAATGGGGCGACACAGCAGCCACAGCAGGGCCAGGCGGCGACGAATGGCTCTGGCGGGGCGCAGAAGAGCCCCGCGGCGCCCCAGATGGACCTCGGCAACCTGGTGGAGTGCAAGCAGGAGCCGGACCATGACTTCGCCGATCTGGAACAATGCGCGGCGGCGCTGGAGAAGGACGCCGCGGCCAACGGCCACTTCCCCGGCCTGTCCGACCTCATCGGCGACGACACGAATGACGAGAGCGACACGTTCAAGGAGCTCATCTCCGATCTGTCGGACTTCCATCCGGAGCTGCTGGACTTCGAGGAGAAGCCGCAGGTGGAGATAAAGACGGAGGACAAGGAGCAGCTGCAGCACAGCCTCATGGAGGGCGGCATGATGAAGGGCGGCGGGGCCGGGAGTCCCATGACGCAGTTCCCCGGCGGCGCGTTCAGTGATAACCAAAGTATGGGCAAGAGGGGCTTCGGCGGCGCCGGCGGCAATGGCGGCGGCATGTCGGAACTGAGTCCGGCGGCGCAGACGCTGAAGCACATGGCGGAGCAGCACCAGCACAAGAGCGCCATGGGCATGGGCTTCCCGCGGCCAGGACAGGCGCAGGGCGGTGGCGGCGGTGCGCCGAATGGGCAGCAGCAGTGGTTCGGCGGCGGTGGCGGCGGCGACTTTCAGGGCAACTTCCACAAGAACGGCCCCCCGAGCGCCGCCGGCAGCTACCCCAGTCCGGACATGGTGAAGCAGGAGATGATGTACGCGCAGAATGAGTTCGATCTCAAGCGGATGGCGCAAATGCCGCCGGCGCAGGCGAAGATGGGCGGCGGCGCGCCCGCCGGCGCGTACAAGCAGCAACAGCAGTACTCGCCGTACGGCTCGCCGAGCAGCATGTCGAACCACGGCAGTCCGGGGCCGGGATTTATGGGCCCGCGTGGCGGCCAGGGGCCGCAGTCGTCGGGGCCGCCACGACCACCCTCTGGACCCGGCGGCGCGGGCCCGCAGGGCGGCCAGGGCACGCTGCAGATGAAGCAGACGCAGCAGCTGCACATCAGCCAGCAGGGACCCGGCGGCCACGGAATTCAGGTGAGTGCTTTCGATCCATTCAATCAGCTCTTTGGCTCCGCGGCGCGACAACAACGCGCATTGTCGCACTCAAGGGGGAGATATTGTGGCTAGAAATTGTGTACTCATGAATTATTTTAGCTGATCGTTTTTGGCAATTCTCTTTTCTTTCACTAAAATATCTATTCTAGTGTTCTTAAGTTGTCATTCTTTTAATCAATCAATGTCGTTGTTCAATTCGCTTATTTTAGTATAGGGGTAAATGGGGCAGTTTCAGATTGGGGCAGTTTCAGATTGGGGCAGTTTCAGATTTCTTAATTTTCTCAGAGATTTTCACATGAATCAATTTCTAGTCTTCACACAATGTTTGTAGTCCTTAAGGACTACAATTGACGAAAATTTGCACAGGATAGCCTTTACTGTTTAGATAAAATAAGTGAAAATTGAAAATCACTCACAAACTAGAATTTTGCTGCCGAATTGATTGTGTGTTTTCTCCATTAAAAAAGCCATAATTCGCGTGAAATACAATCAAAGGTTATTGAGAGTTAAGTAGAGATCATAAATATGCCCGAACTTTTCCTCCTGGGCACGGCCCTTTCAGTGGGTGGTGGAAAATGCACAAACACTGCCCACGGGGCAGACATAGATTCCTTCGCGGGGCAGTTTCGGATCGCCACGGACTGACAACAGCGCGCTCTGACAGTCTGACGCAACATCACGGTCGAAATTTTCTTGTGGCAAATATTGAAGATTTTTCACAAAGTGCCGTTCTGTGCTGCATTGCTTCATCACGTTAAACGACTTCTTAGTTGAAAAGTGAGAAAATACACGCGAAAATCACTGATTAGAGCAGAAATTTCGAGAAGCACATTTTGCGCGGAACTTTCGCAGCGCGTCAAGTTGCCACCACTCACGCATGGTGGCGTTGCGATACAGGAAAAATGACGGGCAACTTGCTTTTCGCTCAGACATTTTGACAGTCCGTGCAAGGGTCCAGAAAAGTCGCGAAAATATTACTTTAAAGGCGATTTTTAGGGAATCAAACAGTGTCAGTGTGTAGATTAGAAACCAAAGTGATCATTTGCCCGCGATTCTACAATTCCACAATGGAATTTATGGTAAATATCAGTGAAAATCTGAAACTGCCCCATAGCAATCCGAAACATCCCCGTGCGGGGCAGTTTCAGATAAATTACAATATTATTTTCATTCTCCTTTAGAGGAAAAAGGATCAGTTTTAATGCCCAATGAAAGGCATTTTCTGAAGCTCAATAGACGAGAGTTTATTTGAGCGTTGTGATTATTTCAATATATTCAGCCGATTTTTCAAGAAAAAATCCTAAAGTTGGAACAGCATTTTGAATCTGAAACTGCCCCACTTACCCCTAAGACTGTCGAATTGAGTTGAGAAAAACCTAAAAAAAAATGTCATTTTATAAGTGAAAAACACTCATTTAAAGAGGTTTTTCCCAGTTTTAATATGGTTAACGTTTAGATAATTTATTATTCTAGTCAGTGAAGATAAATGAATATTAGTTGGATTTTTTCTACCAAAAATTGATGAAATTTATGCAGAAAGACCGATTTAAAGTGGAATTGTTTCCACACATTAAAGTTACCAATTCTTTAACAATTCTTGGAAATTATCTAGGTTAATTCATAGTTTGCAGTTTAATTCGTAGAATTGTTGTCTGTTTCATTACGAATATTTACTTAAATCGGTGAAATTGCCGCGACAACAACAGAGACTAATTTGATGAATGATAAAATGTTAAATAGTTGAGGATTGAGGCGTCGCCATGCGAGTGGTGTACAGATTCTAGCCGCACTATCTCCTCCTTGGCCACACTCTGGGCGCTGTGCGGCGCGTGTGGGGACGCGCGGCGTTTTTTTTTTGTGTTTTTGGGGAGCACAATCTCTGAAATTGCGCCAGAGTTGGGCAAAAATTTGCGTTTGTGTACATGTTGTGCTGATAAAATGCTGATTAATTGATGGGCATGGTGGAGGAAAATGAGCGTGCAGATGTGGAAAGAAGTGGGACAGAATGGGGAAAAGCGCGTGGGCACTTTTAATTAGGGGATGGTCGAATGGGGAAATTCTTGGATTCAATTGGCAAATTGATATGGAAATAATATTGGCTGTGTGTGCTGAAGGTGTGTGTTGTGTTGTGCGCTCGTGGAGAGTTCATCGGCAATGCCAAAAAAGTTATGACACACACAGCACGACGAGTGAGAGGGGGGGAGAAAGGGAGGGAGGGAGAGAGAGGAGTGAGAGAATATGAAGCGTGGAATGTTACCTTGGAGGATTTAGTGTGTTTCTTTGCCATTGTGCTCGCTCTCACTCCCTTTACTCTTAATTAATCTAACTCGAAAGCGCACAGATAACTTTTGCGTCATATACATATATATATATAATCTTTTTTTTTTTACTTCTCTCCCCATTTTGTGGCGCGCTGAGAGAAAAATTACCAATGATTTTTTGGCGGCTTTTGACACACTCGCGAGAGACTTCCTCGTTTCATTGTTTCACGAGTAAATTGAGTGGCCAAAAAATTATATTATGTGACATTTAGCAGACCGGAAGGAGTGTGTGTGTGTGTGTTTTTTTTATGTTGTCGCTGCCCCTTTTGCAAAAATTCTTAATGGAATTCGAAGGCTTCGCGAAGGTTTTGGGTTTCGTCATGAGAAATGGGAGCTTCTTGGGAAAGTTCCTACAGGGTGTGCAGAATTGATGGGAGAAACGATGCTCTTAAGCGCGCGCTCTTCTTTGGGCATTTCCTCATCTAAGAGACTGGCGAAGCACAATGTCTTGTGGTTTCAAATGCCTTCTCATCATCCCGGTGTGTCCGGTGTTGGGATGGGATGTGAGATAGTGAAGAACGTTTTACACACAGAGAGAATGAGAGATTTTAATGCTTCTTTTGCTGTGTGTTTTACCTGAGTGGTTGGGAGAAGAAGAAGAAGAAGAGAAAAAAAAGAGAGAGAGAGATGAGATGAATTGAGAAAAGAGAGGATGAAGATACGACAACGCAGAAGCAACTTACACAAGATTTATGGTGAAATCAATTCAATTCCGCTATCTTGTGGTTCTTTTCTTCTTCTTCACCTCCATACCAATTCCTCTCCACAGTCAAGTTGTGTCGTCGTTTTCGATGCTCTCTATATAGTGTATGTGTTTTTCTTCTATTTTTCCCTCCTCCTGAAGATGGAAATGCCTCCGTGTGATTCTTGGCCGAGAAGAGAGAACACACATTGGCGCAGGATGAACTTGAGAGTCACACTGATGAGATGGAGAAGAGGTCGATGTGAAGGCATCTCCTCTTCTTGTGCACATGAACTCGGATGTTTTGCTATTTTCGCTATGTAGAGAAGATGATGATGGCATTGCAAGAACAGTTTCCATGGCATGGAACAGAGAGTTCTATTGAGATTCTCAACATTTGCTTGTACAATTGCAACAGAAATTCCATCGATACTCAGTGAAATTGGTTGATTCAAATAGGGGAAAACAAACGGTGTAGTAAATGGCAAAACATCTCCACTGAATTATATTTGTCAGTTAAAAATCACTGACTTTTCTGCATTTATCGACAATTTGTTGAGAATCGAACTCGCGATTCTGAAGTTAATGTGACAAAATGACCACTTTTTTGCATCTAAAATTTCATTAGTTCAAATATAGAAGAGAAATATATTTTTCACATCAGTATTCTTCGTTTTCTCTAATAATTCACTCTCTTTTCTACCCTCTTAATCAACTAGAAACATAAGTGCAACGTGTGTTTTGAGTGCCAATTTATCCAGAACAAAGCGCACAAATGCTTCACTTACTTCTTCATTAAGTCACTTTATCCACACAGGAATGTTGTGAAAAGCTGCTCAATTTGTCAAATATACAGTTTGTCGCTTTTCCTGTAAAATCTCTGCACAAACAGAAGAGACTTTCCCAAAGGCATGCCGAAGGTTTGTCAGTGAGCGCAATGAGAAAGTGGTGGGAAAGTTTGAGAAGCCGCGGCATTAGAGCGAAATGTGTCTCTTTTTTTTTGCCGTGTGTCTTTTTCATGTGCGGAGAAGAGCGCTCTGGCTTTTACACCAAGAACCGTTTTCCATGGTGCATTTGAACGGTGAGAAAGGCGGGAGAGTTGTGATATTGATTGGCCGCCACTGAGGAGTGGGCAAAAAGGGAATTCAAACATCTCAATGCTTCTCATCTATATTTCTCTTTGCCTCCATGCCAATTGCGAAATGCTCTTGTTGCGCCAATCACTTGACAGAAGAGGTGATTGTCTCATGTTCTCGATTTCAAACTCTGATGGGGGTTCGGACATTAAGGGATGGAAAGCGGCGATGCGCCCTCCTTGGCTTCCACCCGCACACGGTGATTTTTGATTGCAGTATCAGTGACGGCTCGTGTGGACAATAGAGGATCAGTCTCTTTCAGAGTGAAATGATTCCATGGCAAGAGTGTGTCGGTGTGTGAGTGATGGCGTTTTGTAATATCCGACAAGAGAGTTGGTGCGCAATTGGCGGGAAAGAGAGCGAAAGAGGTCAGTTGAAATAACTCCGAAAGCCAAAGTTAATACAGATGAAATGCGGAGAGCACATTTCATGTGTATTGACCGTTTTCCCGACCGCGGGCGGGCGCCGAGTGGGGGAGGGTGTGAGTGAGACGGGAGGATGGGATGGTGAAGCATAAGCGTGATAAGTGTACTCTGGAGAAGAGCGCCGCAGCACAACAGAGGCATCGAGAGAGAGTGACTCTGACGATGGGGAGGAGGTCATTGTTCTCTTTGACGCTCTCACGAATGTGTATTGTGCTATGGTTTATGCTTATGCGCTTATGCGAGAGGCGCTCGCTGTCCACACGAAATGCCCTAACGTTGAGCTGCTGTGTTTGTTGTGTGATTCCAGGTATCAGCCGGGCAGCACTTGCACTTGTCCGGTGATCTCAAGAGCAGCAATGTCTCCGTGGCGGCCCAACAGGGTGTCTACTTCAATCAGCCAGCACAGCAGCCCGCCCAGCCGCAGCAATCCCAGGCGCCGCCAGTCAGTCAGGCCGCGTCGCAGGCCGCCCAGAACAGCCAGGGCATTGTCAGTGATTCCTACTCCGTGTCGCAGTCGCAGAGCATCAATTTCACGCAGCAGAACATGCGGCGCGGTCAAGCCGCCAATGGCGCCGGCATTCAGACGATGGCGGGCAACAATGCCGTGACGAATCCCAACATGTCGCAGGCTCAGATGGTGTCCATGTCGCAGAGCCAGCACATGTCGGTGTCGGGAATGGTGCAAGGGAGTCAACAGCCGGGCGCTGGACAGGTGAGCAAACTGGCTGACATTCAGACAAAATCCATGCTTCTATGCAGCGGATTTCGAAGGGAGTTTCGCCAAGTAACGCTTGAAGTCTTTCAAACACTGCAAATCATAGGGGAAAGTGGGACGTTTTTGAACAAAATCAAAGCTTGATACAAAGAAAAATGAGAAGAAAACTGTTTAATCGGTTCTAGAAGATCCTTGAAGTCACTACGATTGATTAAGAGGTCATTGCAACTCTGTCAAAATTCCACCAATAAAAGCTATAAAAAGCTTTAAGTCGCAACTCAAATTCGTTATTTTTACGAACTGAAATAGGAAATCTGTAAAGTTGCAACGACCTCTAGGATAGAAGAAATACTCGAATGATCTTAATGTCCTAGATAATTGTTGAATTCACTTCTATCCTTTAACGCGAACCTCTTTTTGGTCTCTCCTCTTGCGCAGCAGATGAACAATCCCATGGGAATGGCGCCCAATATGATGAATCAGGGCCAGATGGGCGGAATGGGAATGGGCAATCCGAATGGCATGGTGGGCGCGCCGAACATGATGGCCAACATGGGCGGCGGCGGCGGTGGCGGCGGCCCGAGTGGCGGCCCGATGCCGGGAATGCGCCACGATCCGACCAAATTCATGCAGCAGCAGCAGATGATGCAGCGGGCGCAGGCGATGCAGCACATGCAGGGCGCCAGGCCGCCGCCGCCGGAGTACAAGGCCGCCCAGGCGCAGATGATCCAGGCCCAGATGATGCATCAGGGCGGGCCCGGAGGGCGCTTCCCCAACTCGGCGGCCGCCATGAGGCGCATGAGTCAGCAGCCGATTCCGCCGTCAGGTGAGTGCGATGAGGGCGCAGTTTATGCCGCGGCGCATGTGCTGACTGGTCGAATTGCAGGTCCGATGATGCGGCCGCAGCACTCCATGTATATGCAGCATCCGAATCACGGCGGGCCTCGCGCCATGGCGCCGTACGGACAGCGGCCGCCAAATGTGCAGGTGGGGCCGGAGGGGATGCCGATGGGCAGCCAACAGGAGTGGCGGCACATCTTCATGTCGCAGCAGCAGAATATGAACTTCAACTCGAGCGGAATGCGCTCCAACTTCACGCCCAATCATCAAGGTAAGACGACGCTCTTGTGGCGAAAGTGTGCGAATTGTGTTGTCTGACCGCGAGCGTGTGTGTTTTCAGGCTTCGGCATGCAGAACGCCGGCCCTGGGGGCGGCACGGGCGGCGGCGGCGGCGGCGGGATGCAAATGACGCCGATGCAGCAGCAAATGATGCGCAATCAGCAGCAGCAACAGCAGCAGCAACCGAACGGCGGCCAGGGCCAGATGGTGGGCATGAATCAGAGCACGATGCAGCAGATGCTCGTGCAGCAGCAGCAGCAGGGCATGATGGGTCAGATGCAGATGAACACAATGCATATGTCGCAGTCGCAGTCGATGTCGCTGCAGCAACAATCTGTGATGAATAACTTTAGCCAAACGACGCAGCAGAATGCCGCGATGATTTCCAGTGGGCAGACACAGGCGCAGCCGGCCGTCCAGCCGGCGCCGCAGACCACCAGCAGCGCCGCCATCAGCCCCAGTGGCAATGACTTCAACTTTGAGTTCCTCGAGAATCTGCCCGTGGGCGACACGTCGGGCTTCTCCGCCCAGGATCTGTTCAATTCCCTCGACAATGACAGCTTCAATCTGCAGGACATGCTGCAGTAGAGGCCACACAGTGGCGGCTGACAGGAGAAGTGGGAAGGTGACGATGGCAGGTGAGAAGATGGCAGACATTTTCCGCTGCAAGTGGAAGCAAAAAAAAAACAAAGGTTTGTTAACAGAGAAAAAAGAGAGCAACTAGTTTGAAAACCAAAATGGAATAATCAAAATTTTTATTGGGAAATTTGTGAGATAGAAAGGAACATTTTATTGTGACACACAACACTCTGTAAAAGAAAGTGGAGAGAAGAAGATTCCAAGACATTGTTTTGCCATATTAGCGTGAATTCTTTTCTCTTTCAATTAGGCGGCCATGAGATTTGATAGTGACAAAATTGTACAGAAAGAGAGACATTCCGATAGATACAAAAAAATGAGAACAGCATCAAAAGATGAAGAGAAAAATTGGGAAGGGAAGAAATCACGCACATTCTAAGGAATTTTGTAGGAAATGTCCGTCTGTTCGGTGGAACAAATGGTGAGAAACATGCGAATTGGCCAATCACATTCCATTTTCATTTTAGGTTCTTTGTACAAAAAAAAAAAACAACCAAGCTTCAATTGATAGCTGACTTTGTGAAGCAACTAATTTAATACATAAAGTTTTTTCTACACTAAAACTACTACAAACACTAAAAAGAAAAAAAAATACTCTCGTAATATTAGAAGGAAAGAAGAAGGTGAAAAAAAACATGGAAAATAGTAATACCTCTTTGAATTCTAAATAAATGTGGACGCTAGAGAAGAAATGCATGAAAATTCCAATTTTATAGATGAATGATTGATGAGAAAAAAAAATAGTATGAAAAAATCGCTTTTGTAGGTTGTCTTTGTAAAAAGTGCGCGCAAATGTAGGCAATTTTTTCCATGAGAAGAAGAATAAAAGAAAAGAAAAACAAATTCGCTTAATATCGCTTCATATTCAGGTTATTTCATGGGTTTCGCTCGCGCGTAGAGAATCGAAAAAAAAAGTGAGGTTAGATTGTTTGGGTGAATGAGTGTTGAGTAGATAAAGGGAAGATCATACTTCTTGAGAAAGCGACAGAGAGATTGGGAGAGAGGTGTGATGGAGAGGAGAAGAAAGGCATTACTAAGACATTTTAACCAACAGTAATTAAATCTTATGGGAAATTTTCTTATGACAAAACAGAATAATCATCTTAAAGAGTCAAATTGTAATTAACTTCCATTTGAGATCCCTCCTTAGTCCACACACACACACGCATGAACTCATCCATCCTTCTTTCTGAACCACCCTCGATTGTATACTTCATTTCTCTAGGATTCTAGGGACCAAAAGAGTGTTTTTTTTTTGGTCACTGGCAGACGATATATATATGAAAAAAACAAAACAAAACACTTCACAATGTGAAAAAGAATAATCACATGAATCTCTTTGTACATAAGTTTGATCTGATTTTCTTGCTACTCTCGCCGGGGTTGAAAAAAGGAGAAGCAGAAAAGGGTGAGCAATTCGCAATGGCATGCAGAATCTATAGGTTATGTTTCACCTAGATTGACAGTCTTTAGGGAAAATTGCCAAGCAAAAAATAGCAAAAAAAAAATTAGTGCATCAGTAATTGATAGGATTTTTACAAAAGAAAGAAATCATCAACCCCGAATTGTGGATTTTAAAGAAAAAGTGTGTGAGAACTTTGGGGCGAAAATGTTCACCCTTTTTTTCCCACCCTGTGAGAGACAAGATGGCGGAAATTCTGTAAAATAGACTCGCGCTCGGGACTTGTCCGTGGACATGTGTGACACGTCGGACGACTTCGCTGCGAGGTGTATTTAATTTCTTACTAGGCTTAATTTTGTGCACATTTTAGGTGGCGTTTATTAATTAATATTACTATTATTATTATTTTCAAGACGAGATGAGAGAGTTTCTGTGAAGGAAAAACACACAAAAAAAATCAGCAATAATAATTGTGTAATTCTAAGATATTCCAAACTTTGGTTCAACTTGTTCTTTGTCACATATTTTTTTTTTACTTTCAAGGAAGGAAAAGGACTTTTTGTGTAATGATCAGTTGTGCTTCTTTCTTTTTTTTATTTCTTAAAAAGACGAGGAAAAAAAAACACACAAAAATAGAGTTGAGAAGTTTTCGAGAAGGAATTATCCAGGAAAAAAAAAAATACAATTGTTTATTGAAAGTTGTCAGAGAGTAAATAAAGAAAAAAAAATTGAAGAAGAGAAAACATCAGATTTGAAAATGAAAGAAAATTAGTAGAATTAATAATTATGTATTAAATTATTGATTTTTTATAAATATATACATATATATATGAAAATATACATTTTATATAGAAGATGAAAAACCAGAAAATAGAGAAAAAAAAGATCCACAAAATGGTTTATTTAGCGGTGAAAATTCGGAGAGCAAAACAATATTTTAGCATTATTATTTAAATGTGAAGAAACATTATGAAACATTGATTAGGATGAATTAAGCTGAAATGAACAAAAATAATTATTATTACTTACATTACATGTGGAGGTAGTAGTAAAATGTGTTTAAACAGTATAATTAAATAGTATATATATTAAATAAAAGTATTTAAAATATGCTTTCGTGTCTTTTCGCTTTAGTTGTCGTTGATTTATTTTTCAGGAAGACCAAAAGTGCGAAGAAAGACCTTGGAAAATGCAGAGATATTAATGGGAAATTGTCTTTATTGGGTTTGGTAGAAAGAAGAAAACCAATATGAAAATGCATTGGGTTTGAAATTCCCTCGAGAGCTCCTCAATTCTCCTCAGCATCGGCAAATCTCTCGTCATCTGGAAGGGAAAAAAGACATATTTTCAGGGTTCGTTTTGCGGATCCGGAAAGTCACGCTGTTCTCACCATCAATGTGGAGATTCTGGATGTTGGCGACGTCCTCCTCCGCCTCCATGAACTCATCGTCTGAGATGCTGTCGTTGGGATCCGGATGGAGTCGCTGGCAGTGATTCATGGCCTCGTAAATCTGATCCACGGCGTTGGGATTCTGCGGCATCAGATACAGCTCGCTGCCGCCAATATCGCTGCCCAGGGAGCCGTCTGATCCATTGCCCTCGTCCTCGTCCACTTCTGGCTCCGCATTGGCTCCATTCGCCTGGCCATTGGCATCAGAAACTCCTGGCCAGCTCAACACAAAGTCCAGAATCATGTAAATGCTCCGCGACGGCGCTGACGATATGGCGTGCAGGCTGATCTTCAGCCAGGGTATCGACACTCCCTCCTCCCGACTCGCTGGCTTCCAGGCAAAGTATCTACAAGAGAGAAAAAGCACCAGCCAGTGAAGAAACTCTCTGGGAAATCATCCCTCGACGTTCCCAAAATACACACTCTTTTGTCAGGATGAGAGTGCCATTTCCCACGTCTCTCTTGTTGATTTGCAACTTCACATTGTCCTCAGAGAACACAGTATCCTCCACTGATGCGTTAATCACCCCGATAATGGACATATTGTGCAGAAAACCGCAATAGACTGATAGCAAATGGGTTTGTTTACGTTTTTCGCAGGAATTTATTCTCAAGCCGCCATGACACTCCCCTGTCTCCAATTCCAGCCACCAGACGTCGCGCCAGCCCACTTGAGAGTCCATGTGTTGCCAAACAAACATCTGAAGCGCGTGGTTTTTCTCATTTTCTCTCAGTTTTCCGCATCAGCAAGTTGTGAAAAGTAGCTGAAAGTGTGCAATGGGTCGCCCAGGTGAGTTTTCCACTCAAGTGCATTGAGATTGCGCGGTATTTTCATCGTGCGATGCCTTTTGCTTGAATAACCTCAAAAACACACGCCGCTTCGTTTTAGGTTTCACTCCCGGAGGCGGAAGAGGTGGCTTTAGGGGCGCTGGCGGGCGCGGTGGCGGCGGCAGAGGAGGCTTTGGAGGTGAGTCTACTCAGGGGGTGGAGATTTTGGCATTCTGACCTGTTTTGTGTGCATTTTAGGCGGTCGAGGCGGCGGTCGCGGAGGTTTCAAGCCGGATGGCGGTCGCGGCGGCGGCCGTGGGGGCCGAGGCGGGGGTCGCGGAGGCGGCAGGGGCAGAGGTGGTGGCGGAGGAGGTTTCAGAGGTGGTGCTAAGTCAGTTGTGGTGGAGCCTCATCGTCACGAGGGTGTGTTTATTGCCAGAGGAAAGGAGGACGCTCTCGTGACGCGAAATCTCGTGCCGGGATCAGAGGTCTATGGCGAGAAGAGGATATCTGTTGATGTGAGTAGAGAGTCAGGAAGATTCTTGAGTGTTTCACAGTGTGATGAGACGCGCAGGGGTATAGAATTCGGCGATAATGTGGCCGAGAGAGGCTTTTCAGCTGGCCAAAGTGATGCTCGAGGCGTCCGGCAAGTTGGAAATGCTTCTGAAAACCGCGCAAACTGACGAATCTTTCCTCAAAGAACCCTTCCAGATCTTCTGAACATTGATTAGCTGATGAGTTTCTCCCTTCTCCGCAGGATAAAACCGATAAGATCGAGTACAGAGTGTGGAATCCATTCCGGTCAAAGCTTGCCGCCGCCATTCTCGGTGGCGTCGACAAAATCCACATTGCGCCGGGAAACAAGGTGCTCTACTTGGGCGCAGCGTCGGGCACCACTGTGTCGCACGTGTCGGACATCGTGGGGCCCGAGGGTTTGGTGTACGCCGTGGAGTTCTCCCATCGCAGCGGACGCGACCTGATAAACGTGGCCAAGAAGCGCACCAACATCATCCCCATCATCGAGGACGCCCGCCACCCGCACAAGTACCGCATGCTGATCGGCATGGTGGACACGGTGTTCGCGGACGTGGCGCAGCCCGACCAGGCGCGAATAGTGGCGCTGAATGCGCAGCACTTCCTCAAGAACGGCGGCCACTTCGTCATCTCCATCAAGGCGTCCTGCATTGACTCCACGGCCCAGCCGGAGGCTGTGTTCGCGGCGGAGGTGAAGAAGCTGCAGGCGGACAAGCTGAAGCCGCAGGAGCAGATCACCCTGGAGCCATACGAGAGGGATCACGCGGTGGTTGTGGGCGTCTTCCGGCCACCGCCGAAAGCCTGAATCCCCCTTAGTTTGTAGACACAACACACTTTGTTCAGAATAACTAAAGGCTTACAAGTCAAACTGAGTCTTCTTCGCCGTGCAGGGCGCGCGAGATGTCCAGCCAGTCCATTGCCTGGCGCAGGGAATCGTTCCTGGACGGCAAAGTGTCGTAGTTCCAGTAAGAGAATTCGCTGAAGTGCTTTGAGATCTCCATTGTGGCAGAGTCGCTCGTCGCCGTGGTGAGAACAATGCCTTGGTGGGTTGAGGGGACGGTGAAGTTCTCGCCCACAAGAGGATAGCCTCTCAGTGAGTTCCTGACCACTGCAAGACCGTAAATATGAGATGATAATGTTTCCCAATTGATTCCTCTGTCAGCTTCCTAACCTCCATTTGCGTCTGTTTTCTCAAACTTCTCAAAGTGTTTCTCCACATTGGCCGCTCCACTGGTGTCCGTGTCGGCGGGTAGGAAGTGCACCTTTGCCGTGGGGGCCGAATGATGGCCGTCAGTGGTGATTTTCCGGCTTTTTGTCGTCATTTTTCCCCAGAAAGAGTGCGGCGCGAAGCAAAAACACACAGAGCGCGATGCGCCACTGAAACCGCGGTGGCGGATTTCGGAAGATCGCTCGAATGTCGCGACGTCACGCTGACAGTTCCGCAGCTTCCGGCTCGCGAGAGCGAGAGGGAGAGCAAGAGAAAGAAGTAAAATGGTACAATCACGAATTTTTTCCTGTGCCACAAATTCCACCCATTTTGCGTGAAAAAGTCACCCCAGAGGCCGTACGAAGGGGCTCCAGGGGCACGCGAGGGCGCTTGGTGGGGGCGTGCAAATGTGCAATTGTGCGTGGTGCGCGAGGATTTCGGTAAAATGAGCAACAAAATCGAGTATTCTCGGAGGAGTCGAAATGGCGCACAAATAATTCGACTAACAAGTGAGTATTATTTAAATGGGGTGCGCTAATCTGTGGGGCGGCCGCGGGGCGCGCCCTGCTCCGTGATGCAGCACTAATCCTGTGATCTCTGTATCGTTGCAGTTCTGTGCGCCCGCAATCTTGCACGAAAGGAATTCCTGCGTGAGTATCTTGACGTCGCTTTTTTACTCCCTTTTCTCTCTCTCTCTCTCTCTCTGGGTTTCTTCGCATTCTTCACGAATACACAGCCAAAAAAGTCCAACGCACACCACTCCTCTCCTGCCACTCTTCACACTCACTTCCGCACGAAATTCCCACCGCAGAGCCCACAGTTGCCCCGGGGGCGGTTGCACAAGGGGCGCCGCAGCGCTGCGTCCGGAAGCGCTCGCCGGACGGCGCCGCCCCTCCGCGAGCTCTTGGCCCGGGGAATTCGATGGAAATCGACATGCCACCCCTCGAGCGGGCGCGACAGGGCGTGGGAAAAGGGTGGGAAATCACGGCCGATGCCACTTATCGCTTGGCAAAGGCCGCCGATTAGTTGTTTACGCTCAAGAGACCTTCCAATTAAAGGGGGATTTGTGGATTTCCGCGCTGAAGAGCGGGGCCCAGAATAAACCTGCCGAGCTTAAGGAGTCACACACAAAGTGGGTCATTGAAGGTGTCTCTCTTTTCTCTTAATTGCAAAGAAGGAAAGAAAAAAAACAACCTTTTGTAGCAACTTGTGAAAACGGAAATGGCAGTGTTTTGTCGATAAAATCGTTAAAATGTTATGAGCAGCGCATGTTGTGATTTGTTGGTGCAAAAGAGGTGACTTTTTTTTTAAAAAACATTCTCCGTCACTCAATGTTGTGAATTTGCAGAATTTTGAGCAAATCTTCAGATTTCCTTGATAAACTCGGACTCATTTTGTAATCAGAAAAGTTTGTAATCAGTGACCAAATTCTCGTTGTCCACCAGAAAGCGGAATGTTATTTCATAGGGGAGAGTGGAGCTACTTTTGGGAAGAAGAGATTCTTTTTCCCCAAGAAAAATTCAGATTTGAACTATTTTAACCCCAAAATTAAGTGAAAATACGACTAAGAAAATCTATGCTCAGGTTCAATGCGTGTAAACGTAGTTAAATAACTGCGTAATGAACAGAAACACTCAAAATGACGCGACAATGAGCTTTTTGTAGAGTTTCTAGCCTCAAAATCAGCCTTTCAATTTGTTCTAGGCTTAGTAAATTAGCAGTAATCGTGCTGTCTTCGATCTAATCCGGTTCGAAGGACCAAGAAATCTAGTCAATCTTGATTTCTTCTACTGTTTAATTCTGTAACGTGAGTTTTCATTTCTGTAATCATATTTGTGCCTCTCCCAACCCCGTCCTCCCCTATAGAAGCCACTGCCGAATTGCTGGACGGCAGAGCATCTTGGCCAGTTCATGCTGTTCGCACTCTTTTTCTAATCACTCTCCTTTCTTTTTGCCCCCAACATTTGCCTGTGCAAAGAACTTCTTCTGTGGCGATTGCGGGGCTGCTTTGTCAAGAGAGCAAAAGAGACACTTCCGGTCACTCCTTGTGTCGCGTCTATCTTGCAAGAGTGCAGAATGTTAGTTGAGCAATAAATGCAACACGAGAGCATAATTATTCAATGAAGAACTCGTCTCTCGGTCACTCTCGCTCTCTCTTCTGCTGCATAACGCACAAGAGTTGGTGATTTTTCTTTCGATGCGTGACGTCGAAGTTGTGCAATTTTTATCAATGAGAGAAGAGAGTGAGAGAGAGAGAGAAGTTTTCCTCGGGGATTTTCTCTGTTTTCGTGTGTGTCTTTATGTAATTCCGGCGAGGGCAACAATTGGGGGGCTCGGAAGGTGAGTGAGAGTTGAGACTGCATCGCATGGCCGATCACAATTGACGACGATTGAGCATGAAGAGCGAGAAAGAGAGGAAGAAGGAGAGGCGCAAGAACCTGAAAGTGTCGATCTTGTGGCGCTCGTGGGCTCTTTTCTAGGCTCTCTCGCGCGCACGGCCTTTCAGCAGGTGGTCGTTCTGTGTGTTGTGTGTGATGCGACAGGTCAGAGATTGGGTCACTCTCGAAGGGCTGTCGGCCGGAGACGATGTCGCAGCGCGAGACGGGCGAGTGATGATAATTTGTAATCAGAGGCGAGATGGCAGTCGTGAGTGTTATCATGCCAAGAGCGCGGCGCCCAAACGCACACGCTCGAGATGGCGACTGGCGCGCGGGGAGGCGGAGATTGTGGGTGGCGAGAGAGAGAGAGAGAGAGAGAGAGTGGGAATCCATCAGTGCGGAATTCTGCTGTCTTCGAGAGAGATAGTGTTTTTGTGATGATTCACAAGCAGCGCGTCCAAGAGACGCCGGAATAAATTGCTGTCTCGCTGACGCGCGCCCGATGTTTTGAGTGTCTGGGATAGTTTTGCTTTGTTTTTTTTTCTTTGCTGTGCTTTTCCCATCGCCAGGGCGATTCTAATGGGGCACTGTGGATTGCAGGTCTGCCGGATCCGTTCGCTAAGGTGTCGGTGGACGGCACGGGGCAGGTGCACTCCACGGAGACGTGCAAGGCGAGTCTGGACCCCAAGTGGAACTCGCACTACGATCTGTACTTGGGCAGCAAGGATGCCATCACGATATCGGTGTGGAACTACAGAAAGATCAACAAGAGGCAGGGCAGTGGCTTCCTCGGGTGTGTCCGGATTCAGGCGGACATGATCCAGAGGCTGAAGGACAACGGCTTCCAGCGCCTGGACCTGGGCAAGTACACGCCGGACGATCAGGAGCAGGTGCGCGGCCAGATCATCATATCGCTGACATCGAGAGACGCCCAGGGAAGCACGCCGCTGGCGATTGTGTCGCCCGGCGGGGACGTGCACGGGCCGGCAGAGGACACGGAGGGCGGCGTGACGGGTGTGCCGTCCATCCAGGCGCCGGCCAAGAAGGCGCGCGAGCCGGACGCCGAGTTGCCCGAGGGCTGGGAGCAGCGCAAGACGCAGCAGGGGCGCGTGTACTACGTGAATCACGTGACCAAGTCCACGCAGTGGGACAGACCCACGGCGCCGGCGACGAACGGCACGGGCGGCGGCGGCGACGAGAGCGCCCCGGCGGGACCCTCGCGCTCCGCCACGTGCACGAATCTGACGAACGGCGTGAGTGCGAGCGACACGTCGCGTCGGCACTCGCTCGAGGTGCTGCTGAATCTGAAGAACGATCCGGCACGCGACGCGCGACACATCAGTCCCGACAGCGCGACCCGTGGCGTACGCGAGGCGACGCAGAGTCCGCCTCAGCAGGTCGCCAACGGCGTGGCGCCCATCGCGAGTCCCGTGACGACGCCAAAGTGCAATTCGGCTGATATTTTGGCGCAGAACCGAACGCCACAGAGTCAAACGAGGTGAGTTGTGATGTTTGTGTGTCTTCAGAGGTCAGTCAATTACTAAATCTTGGCGTTCGCTTGCGCAGGGATCCGACGACACCGCCGGGAAACAGCACGCAGAACGTCAATCACCTGGCCAACACCGTCAGCGGACTCGTCCTAGAATCGCCGAGCCGTCCAGCGTTGAGTGCGAGCAATAGTTTGAACAACAATGTCAGCACGCCGCCGCTGGCGTCCAGCGCCAGCAACAACAACACGCCGGCGTCCACGAGTCCGGTGAACAACAATGCGGCGCAGGAGGTGGACGGGCCGGCGCAGAGTCGCCCCACAGACGCGCAAAGGGCGCGGCGCTCGCTGCGGAACGTGGACGACTCGGCCAGGCGGCGATCGGCGCGCGGAGCTCGAGTGACGCAGATTCAGGGAAGAGCCAACGGCGCCTCCGGACGACCCGCTGTGGATCTTCCGCCAGGATACGGTGAGTCACTGAGCGTCCGACGGTGGGGATTTGATGGGAAATTTTGCATGAGAAGTTGGATTGTGGGCAGAGTTGGGGCAAATGCGATGAAAAGGCGCGCCTGATGCTAATGTGTGGTTTTGGTGGCATTGCAGAGATGCGGACGACGCAGCAGGGCCAGGTGTACTTCTATCATATCCCCACGGGCGTGTCCACGTGGCACGACCCGCGCATCCCGCGCGACCTGGACACGCAGGCCATCGCCCTGGACACGCTGGGCCCGCTGCCGTCGGGCTGGGAGCAGCGCAAGACGGCGTCTGGGCGGGTGTACTTCGTGGACCACAACAACCGCACCACGCAGTTCACGGACCCACGCCTCAACGGCCACCTGCTCGGGATGCTGCGGCGTCAGAGCCAGGCGCCGGCTGGAGCGGCGTCCGCGGGGCCGCCGCTGAGCTGCACGGCGGGCGCCGGGCCACAGGTGGCAAACGGGAATGTGCGCAACGGCGAGGTGATCTCGCCCACACGGCCCACGGCCGCGCAGGCGCCGCCGGACCTGCCGCAAGGCCTGCTCGACGGGGCGGAGCTGCTGCCCAAGTACCGGCGCGACCTGGTGAGCAAGATGCGGGCGCTGCGGGCGGAGCTGCAGGCGCTGCAGCCTCAGTCCGGCCACTGTCGGCTGGAGGTGTCACGCGCGGAGATCTTCGAGGAGAGCTATCGGCTGATCATGAAGATGCGCCCCAAGGACATGCGCAAGAGGCTGATGGTGAAGTTCAGGGGCGAGGAGGGCCTGGACTATGGCGGCGTGGCGCGCGAGTGGCTGCATCTGCTGTCCAGGGAGATGCTGAATCCGCAGTACGGGCTGTTCCAATACAGCCGCGACGACTACTACACGCTGCAGATCAACACAGACTCCGCCGTGAATCCCGACCACCTGTCGTACTTTCACTTCGTGGGCAGGATTCTGGGCATCGCCGTGTTCCACGGCCACTGCCTGGACGGCGGCTTCACGACGCCCTTCTACAAGCAGCTGCTGAACAAGCCGATCACGCTCAACGACATCGAGGGCGTGGATCCGGACCTGCACAGGAGTCTCACGTGGATTCTGTGAGTTTTCTCTATCATCAAATCCAAAATTGCCTGGTTGTCATGTTGCAATTATTTGATTTCAGGGAGAACGTCATCGACGGCGTCATTGAGACGACTTTCAGCGTGGAGAACAACAGCTTCGGGGCGCTGAAAGTGCACGAGCTGAAGCAGGGCGGAGCCGGAATTGCCGTGACGGAGGAGAACAAGAAGGAGTACGTGAAGCTCTACGTCAACTATCGGTTCATGCGCGGAATTGAGCAGCAATTCCTGGCATTGCAGAAAGGTAGGAAGAAAATTGAGTAGAAAGCATGATTCTGTACAATTTTTTCAGCAAACCCAGTAAAGTCAATGTCTGAGGGTCAGACAGTTCTGTCGACTGTCCCACGACACTTCCTACAGGCTTAAAAACGGTCCAAAACCTTATTTCTCTTTATTGCCAACAATCTATTCATGCCATTACAATAAGCTTTCGTGTTGATTTGAAAATAGACTAAAAATACATCCATTGAACATGTGCAAAAATATAATTTCTAAAATCAATGCGATTTAAAAACTCTAGTTTTTAGTCCTCTACTCTTTCTAATCCCGCTAAAATTCAACACAGCAATCAGCATTATTTTGGATGCCAGTTGTGCGATAAGCGCAAAAATTATTCATCTTCCTGGTTCTCTGATTTCTCATGTATCAAAACCCAAATATTAAAGATGAAAGAATTTTTTTTTCTGAATATTTTTCAAGGTGTAAAAGAAGTTAATTTCTCCTGAATAAGAACGTGCAAATTACATAAACGAAGATCCCTTGATGTGATATGTTAAAAGTAATTTCACTTGCTCAAAGCATACAAAGTGGCGCAGTAAGAAAAGGCCAATTTCATGATCTGAACGAACGCGTTCATGTTGACGTCATACATTCCGGCCGCTTTCAGTCCGAAATCTTTCTGCGCCATCGCGAGAATCAGAAGAAACGTCTTCTGATCCTTCACACTCAATTCGTACCAGTTTGTGAGATAAAGAGTGTCCGAAAGTCTCTCGGTTTTCATCTTGATAAGCTCGCCAAACAAACAAAGAAGTAAAATTTGGCCAATTCCAACACAGCATATGAAATACGCTGAAATGTGATCGCTTTCCTTTCGAAAGAAGAGAAAACCAAGTATTAGAAGTAAAGTACTGTTTGTGACCTGAAGAAATGCCGTCTTTTGAATGGCTTCATTGAACAGATTCACTTTTCTGATAATATCGTTGTGGCGAATGATGATAGTTTTAAGGTAATTCGGAATTTCCTTAGATTTCTCATCGATCATTTTCATGTAATCGTTGAGAATATTCAGCGCTGCCATAATTTGAAGACCAATGAAAATTATTCCCAAGTCCATCGTTATAACGGAAACTGAGCCAATTGTCATCAATACTATTTGGATAACATAAGTCACTTTGTCAGAAACTGCGTTTGGGCCCAGAATTTGCATAAACAATCCCATCTCGCTATTCGGTGTCATTGTAGCTCCAATTATTATTCCAGCCGTAAATACAAATCGCGTTCCCCACCTGAAAACATTTTTTATGTCATAGATCTGACTTTCCATTTAATGCAAAATGTCTTACTTGGTCAGAAACTTCCAAATCTCGAGCATTTGAATCAAATGCTTTTCGATAATCACTTTCAGCTCAGGATCAATTTCTTCTTCGTTACAGAGAAATTCAATCCATTTGAGAAAATTAAAGAAATGTTGACGTTCAATGAAACCAAGAATTAATTTCGAAATAATTTGCGAATAACCAACAAAAAACAATATCGTCGTAATGAGATCAATGTTCAGTTCCATTGGTAATGAATTATATAATCGTGTGCCTGTGAAGAATAATCCAAAAATGGAACAGAGAGGAAAAATCACAATCAAGATGCGATTTTTCCACGGACCAGAAAAAATATTGAACGTCAAAGCGGATATTTGAAAATCAATCACTGGTTTTTCACAGTTGAACTTCTCCAATTGCTTGGAAACTTTCATTTTGCGCACTGAGAACGAGAAAATCCTTCCGATAAGTTTAATGATTGCTGCAAAACTGAAAAGTCGTCCTGAATCCAGTCGCAAGGCGTCTGAAGAGTGTTTTAATTGTCTCATGACGCCCGCGAATAATAAATCGTTTTGTTATGAAATATACAGTGACTAGAAGTGGAATAGATCCGCCTGAGGCTCTGAGACAAATCGATGTGCCGCGAATTTCCCTCTGTTCCTCGCGGTGTTAATGGAAGTTGAAGGCTAACGCGGTTCTATTCAATTCGGAGTCACTGTACATGAATAAGGGAGAAAAGTATGAATATTGAACATTTGCATACTTTATTACGCTGTATTGCATTACTTTTCCACCAATTATTTTCAATGCTATCGATTTTTCTTATAATATATTGAAGATCAAAGTTTGCCATCGTTAAATATGTCTGACATAAAGTTGAGGACACGTGTTCTGATAAAATGGAGGCGATTCTATTCCTTTCTTGACACAATTAATTCAGTTCTGCGTCATTAGTGAGAAATACAATCAATTATTGAGGATTCATTTTTACTGTATCAGAATGTCCAGTGGACTGTCCTGTGACACTACTGACAGACTAAAAAATTGACCAAATTTATTTTTCTTTAGTTTATCTTTATTACAAGAATCTACACAATATTCAGGTAATATTTTTAATAAAGTGGCAATAAATTATTAGGCAACTGAAAGCATGAATAAACTTACATAAATAGCTTAAAATAGAAAAAAAAAGACACAAATGAATGAATTTATTAAAGGACGGCGTTGAATTGTCTTCTCTGTGTTAACGTAATGTTTGACTGTCTCGCGAATTCAAGTTATTTTAGATCAAAGTGTATTCAAAACAATGATTTGAAATTATTTGATTCGATTCCACTTTCCGTGATTTTTAATCTAAAGCCCGAAGTGAAAAATGTTCTTAATTTCGCCTAAAATCAGGCAATTTTACTTGAATACCCACCTTAGCTTTTAGACCAGATGCGTAATCACTTCACCGACCAATCCTGGGATACCAACCCTCCGACGGGAGTGCAGAGAGAGATTTTTCTCTCTTCGAGAAGGACTTTTGCCTGGAACAGTCAAACCGTCTAGACGTATTGTCTTTGAAGTGAAATAAATTAGTCTGTAGTGTTAAAATGCACCCTTTTTCACCTCCCCTCGCGCGTGAGGTTGCCCAATGTCCAGTGCAGTACTGCAATCGTGGGTACGATTGACTACATTGAGTGCTTGTCCACAGAAAAATAACATCTTACAAATACTTGTGTTGCCACGGTTACCAGCCGAAATCCGCCCCATCACAGTCGCTTCTGACTGGAGAATCTGGCCAGGACGAAAAAGAAACTATTCTAATCTCAACCTGTTTCTCGTAGAGGGAATTTGGCCTTCACAATTCTTTTGTATATCTTTTTCGAAGTGTGATATTTTTTTTGAAAATATGAATCATTTATTGACGATAAGCGACAAAACACTAATCTAAATCTATAATATTCCCTAGATATCAATCCAATTCAAAATATAAAGTCAACTAAGTTACGCTTCTCGTAGTGACATTTCACTTGCTCAAAGCGTACAAAGCGGCGCAGTAAGAAAAGGCCAATTTTACTATCTGAACGAATGCGTTCAGGTTGACGTCATACATTCCGGCCGCTTTCAGCCCGAAATCTTTCTGCGCCATCGCGAGGATTAGAAGAAACGTCTTCTGATCCTTCACACTCAATTCGTACCAGTTTGTGAGGTAAAGAGTCTCCGAAAGTCGCTCGGTTTTCATCTTGATGAGTTCGCCAAAAAAACTTAGAAGAAAAATTTGGGCAATTGAGAAACAGCATATAAAATATGGGGAAATTTGATCACTTTCCTTTCGCAAGAAAAGAAAACTAAATATCAGAAGTAAAGTACTGTTTGTGACCTGAAGAAATGCCGTCTTTTGAATGGCTTCGTTGAACAGATTCACATTCTTGATAATATCATTGTGGCGAATGATGATAATTTTAAGGTAATTCGGAATTTTCTTAGTTTTCTCATCAATCAAATTCATGTAATCGTTGAGAATGTTCAGCGCTACCCTAATTTGAAGGCCAATGAAAAGTATTCCCAAGTCAAGTGTTACAACGGAAACTGCGGCTATTGGTAGCAATATCATTTGGATAACATAAATCACTTCGCCGGAAACTGTGTTTGGGCCCAAAATTTGCATGAACAACCCCATCTCGCTATTCGGTGTCATTGCAGATGCAGTTGATAATCCCGTCAAGATTACAAATCTCGTTCCCCATCTGAAATCATTTTATTATGTAATAAATCTGATTAGCATTTAATGTGAAATTTCTTACTTGGTCAGAAACTTCCAAATCTCAAGCGATTGAATCAAATGCTTTTCAAAAATCACTTTAAGCTCTGCATCAGTTTCTTCTTCGTTGTAGAGAGACTTAATCCATTCGAAAAGATTGAAGAAATATTGGCGTCCAATGAAGCTGAGAAAAAATTTCGAAATAGCTTGGAAAAAGCCGATTATCATCATTATCTTTGTAATGAGATTAATGTTCAGTTCCATTGATAGAGAATTATATAGACGAATGCCTACGAAGATAAGTCCAAAGAAGGAGCCAAAAACCAAAATCATAACCAAGAGGCGATTTTTCCACGGACCAGAAAATATATTGATCGTCAAAGCGGATATTTGAAAATCAATCACTGGTTTTTCACAGTTGAACTTCTCCAATTGCTTGGAAACTTTCATTTTGCGCACTGAGAAATGAAAATCCTTCCGACAAGTTTAACAATTGCTGCAAAACTGAAAAGCCGTCCTGACACAATGTGAAGGGAAGAATCTAAAATGTGTGTTCTTTTTCTCATCGCAAGAGTGTTTAATATAATGAATTATTAAATTTGTTGCATCACACTTTTTCACGCGGCAAATTAAATCACATTTCCTCCTTTTCCTCACACTCTCGATGCACACATGTTGCATTCTCAGCGCGAGTCATTCGACTGACTGTTCAAAAATTCTCCCACATTTCTCTGATCCTGTTTTTCAACTGAAGCGTGAAATCAATAAAAAGCTCTCAGAGTGAGAAAGATCGCCGAAAAGAGAAATTCGATAGAATTGAAAGGAAACCAAAGAAAATAACTCAATGAATAATTTTTCCATGAATAAATTATGAATTGAAGAAAAGTTTATTTCACTGACATTTTCTTTTACAATTTCATTCTTAATTCATGATTAAATTACAACAAATAAAGCAGTTTGGTA